TATCTATCTATCTATCTATCTATCTATCTATCTATCTATCTATCTATATCCATCCATCCCATCTAATCTATCTATCTCTATCTCTGTATATCCTCATCCTCATCTCTATATTTATTCTATCTATCCAGACTATTTATTTAATCACACTCCCCCTTTCAATCTCTATCTCTGTCTCTGTCATCTCTCTCGCTCTCTCATCTTGGAACTGGTTGTCTTCCCCGCAGAGAAACTCTCGGGGCCTGTAAAAACATAACGCTAAAAACAAAAGAGCTAAACCCAGGTCAGAAGTGAACTGGAAGAATGCTGGTTTGAAGGTGGTTCCAGCTGCAGCTGTGCAGAAGACCAAATGCTGTGTGGTTTGCCAAGATGCAGAAATATCACAGGGGGTTCTGGTCTTTCGTGACATTAGCCCAGCACAGAAGCCTCAATTCTTATGCTGTTTTCCACAGGGAAGGCAAAAAACAAAACAAAACCAAAAACAAACCATAGATCTGTGCCCAAGAAGGCTAGGAAGACCCCCCTTCAGATCTCACCTCCTCCTCTTCTTCGCATCCTGCAGGCTCTTCTCCAGCAAAACTCTCTGAAGGTTAAAAGCAGAAGGTTACAGAGCGTTTTTCAAGGGCCTTAAATCGTTGTTAAGGGTTGCAGGTGCCTTGTTGTCTCCTGTGCCAAGGGGTCCCCCCCCCAACCATTAAGGACAAGGACTGGGGGCTTCTCCATATGGTCTACCTGTCAACCGCTCCCTTATGCCTGCCTGGGCTTCGCTGCTACGCTGTGACAGACTGCGAGGGATGCTTGGAAGGAAGAGGAGAATGGTTCTGACCCAGGCTTCGTCCAGCATACTTAACCACAAACTTGTTTTCAAAGCAAAACCTATTTTATGGCAACGCTGGGAATTCCTTGCATTCCCAGCCAGAGCTAATTATAAACAGTTCCCCAAGATAAGCACACGCCTTTCAGTGCTGTGGAATGCTGCCAAAAACCAGAAGTAATTATAACAGAAACTAACCGAAGTACCGGAAAAAAGAGACCAGAGTATATGCAGAGCTTCAAGGAGGACTCGGAATCTATCGAACTACTTTGCTTCCTGCAAAGGTTTCTTCACCTTTGCCTGTCCTTTATCCCTTAGGGCAGGGGTCCCCAACCGCCGGTCCGCGGACCGATACCGGTCCGCGGAACAACTCTTACCGGGCCGCTGGTTGCTGGGCGCCGCCATCTTTTTTGATGAAAAAGTGCTTCCGGTGAGGTCACCGGAAGCACTTTTTCGTCAAAAAAAGATGGCAGCGCCCAGTTGATGCCGGTACCGGGCCGCGGCGCCCAGCTGATGCCGGTACCGGGCCGCGGCGTCAAAAAGGTTGGGGATCCCTGCCTTAGGGGAGGGGCAATCCCCTCCCAGCCTTACTTCCGAGTCGCCCCTTTTGTTTCAGCTGCTCTCATCTTCTAGCAGCTCTGTGCAAGTGCGCACTGGGAACAGGCTCCCATTGTTCCTCTTCCTCGCTGCTACCACACTCCGGAGGCTCCGGAGTCAGCACCTCACTCCCAGGTGGTTCTGGCCCCGTCCCTGCATCGAATGCAGGACCCTCATCTCGGTCCTCTCCAGACTCCCAGACCGGTCCCCTTTCTGGTCCCTCCCTGCATGGTCCCCGCCCCCCCCCCCCCCCTTTTTCCTTCCTTGGCCACAGGGACGCCTTCGGGGAGCAAAAACAACCCCCCCAGGAGGCTTCCCCGAGGCCCAGAAGGCCCCCAAAAATAGGGTGTGTGTGTGTTTGCTGCAAAAAAAGAAGCCACGCCCACCCGGTCACATGGCCACGCCCACCTAGCCATGCCCACGGAACCGGATTTTACCAAATTTGAACCCCACCCCTGGGCTTAGCAGTTGTTCACAGGCAGTCTCGACTTACGACCGCGATGGAGCCCTGCTGCTAAGCGAGATGACCGCGAAGGGATGTTTTCGCCCCCGTTTTACAAACTTTCTGGCATTGGCTCAGGGAGTCGCGGCGGTCATTAACTTCATCGCCCGGCTGCTAAGCGAATCCTGCTTCCCCCCGTGGACTTGGCTCATTGGAAGGTCGCCCCTCCCCACAAAAGGGGGAGAATCACGTGACACGCCCCTTGGGGAATGCCGCAGCTGTTGTTAAGTGTGAAAAACAGTCCCATTCCTTTCTCTCTTTTTTTTAGGGCCATTGCAACTTTCAACGGTTGCTAAACCAACGGCCGTAAGTTGAGGACCTGCCCGAATGCTGGGCCGACCCTTCAAGGCTGCCAGGGATGAGATGCCGCTTGGTTTCCAATGCAGAGAAAGGAAGAATTGGGAGGAAAGAAATGTATTAGACAGGGAGGGAATCCCCGGGTGGCCTTTTAGTCTTGTTTTCATTTGTGGCCTTTTAGTCTTGTTTTCATTTGTGGCCTTTTAGTCTTGTTTTCATTTTAAACGCCCCCGATCAGCCGTTAAGGATAATCATCCTGCTCCTTTTTCCAGGGAGGTTGGGTAGATCTGGTGGTGGCGGTTGTTGTTTTTTTTCCAAAAAGGAGGGATCGAAAGAGGGAGAAGAATGCCTTCAACCCATCAGGACTGGCAGGTTTTATAGCTCTTCCAGAACCTGCCCAACCTGTCTTGAGCAGACAGGAAGGAAGGACAGGAGGGAGGAGGAGGGGGAGGAGGAGAAAGAAAGGAAAGGAGAAATTAAAAGGGCTGGGAAGGAGGGAGGGAAGCGAGGAGGAGGAGGAGAGGAAGGGAGGAAAGAGAAAATAGGAAGGGAGGGAGGAGAGAAGAAAAATAAGAAGGGGGGGGAGGAGTGAAGAGAGAAGGAAGGGGAGAAAAGGGAGGGAGTCAGGAAAGAAAGAAAGAAAGAAAGAAAGAAAGAAAAAGAAAGAAAGAAAGAAAGAAAGAAAGAAAGAAAGAAAGAAAGAAAGAAAGAAAGAAAGAAAGAAAGAAAGAAAGAAAGGATTAGGAAGGAGGAAGGAAGACAGAAAGGAAGAGGAAGAAGAGGAGGAGGAGGAAAATGATAGGCTAGGAAAGGAAAGGAGAAAGGAAAGGAGGAAAGGAAGGAAAGGAAAGGAAAGGAAAGGAAAAGAAATAAAAGGAGGAAAGGAAAGAAGGAAAGGAGGAAGGAAAGGAAAGGAGGAAGGAAAGGAAAGAAAGAAGGAAAGGAAGGGAAAGGAAAGGAGGAAAGGAAAGGAAAGAGGGAAAGGAGGAAGGAAAGAATGAAAGCAAAGCAAAGCAAAAGCAAAACTAAAGCAAAGCAAAGCAAAAAGAAAAGAAAAGAAAAGAAAAAAGAGAGAGAGGGGATGAGCATAATTTCTTTGCAAGTATCTCTGCAACCTTTTGGGGGGTGGTAAGGGACCTCTTGTGCTGGGGCAGCAGAGAATCCATGGTTCCCCGTGTGACTTCACCAGTTTGGGTGGGGGACACACAAAGTAATGGCATTGCAAAACCAGCCGGTACCTCCGTTGGGCAGGGGTGCGTCGCAGACCTCGTAAATCTTGTAGGGCTGCATCGGCGTGTCTTTGGTCCCGTCGTAGATCAGGCTGAACTCCCGGCTTTTGTTGAGGGCACAACGCAGGTTGGCCTTCCATTTGGCCGGATCCGGCTCGTCTACGCCCTCATTGTATTTGCCCGTTTCTTTGGCCCAGGCCTGTCCGTTGCGAGAAAGGAAAGAGCGTGAGATTTCGGAGGATTTTCCCGCCGTCTTCTCCAAAGCAAAGTCACTGGGGAAGCCTGCAGGAAGTCCCAAACTTCCTCTGGTTCCCACTGGGTTGTTTTTTTTTTTTTTTTTTTTGCCCTCCTGGGGTCATTCTGTTTTGTCTTTTCGAATGAGGGAGTTCTCGATTTACAACAAAATGGGTACAACTTTTTGTAACCCGGGGTGGGATGCAAATATTTTTACTACCGGTTCCGTGGGCGTGGCTAGGTGGGCGTGGCTAGGTGGGTGTGGCTAGGTGAGTGTGGTCATGTGACAGGGTGGGCGTGGTACCTTTATCTTCTCTAGTCGGTCTCTTGCACCACGGTGGAAGGCCTCTATTTCACTCTCCCCTGGGCTTCCGGGAGGGCAAAAACAGCAGAACCTCCGGGAGCAGAGGTGAGATTCAGCTGGTTCTGACAGGTTCTGCAGAACCGGTAGTGAAAATGTTGAGTCGTTTGGAGAACCAGCCAACCCCATCTCTGACTGGCCCCACCAACCCAAGAATAGATGTATTCTCCTCCTCCCATTGAGTCCCAGCTGGGTGGATGGGTGGACTTCAAACTCCCAGAA